TTACCTCATCCCTCCAGGTTGCTGGCTGCAAACACAACTCTGAGAAATGGCCTGGGTAAAGAGTGGTGTGACATTACTACACTCACATACACACACAGACAGACAGACAGACACACACACACACAGACACACAGGTTTTCATCCTTGGCTCTTGGCTTATAATAGTCACTTGTTCTGATGTTGGGGCATTGCAGACCTCAGAGCCAGGTCTCAGGAAACAAATCTTTCTGACCTTCCCCTGCCCTCTCTTCACCTGCTCAAGGCAGTCTTTCTGACTGGAGATCATCAGACTCTCATTTCAGATAGAGTCTTGTCCCATGCCCTGAAGGCACAAATACTGCACAGAGAGGCCAAGGAGAATATGGACAGACAGGCCTTGCTGGGTTTCCCCACTCAGTCTATCAGTACTAGATCATCTACTTTTTGTCCAATCACAGTCTGGTGCGGTTGCCTTCAGTCCTATCCATCCAACGAAGTCTCCATAAAAGGCCCAGGAGGACGGGCTTCAGAGAGCTTCTGGGACAGCTCAACAGGTGGGGGTTCCTGAGGGGCGGCGCACCTCGAGCGAGTCTGGAAGTTGCGTGCGCCTCCCGCATGCCTCCCTTCTATGTGCCTCTTCATCTTTATCCTTTGTTTTAAACTGGTAAATGTAAGTGTTTCCCTGAGTTCTGTGAGCCTATCCAGCAAATTAATCAAACCCAAAGAGGGGTTGTGGGAATCGCAAACTGAGGGTAGATGGTCAGAAGTTCCGGAGGCCCAGACTTGCAAATGGTGTCTGGGGGCGAAAGGAGGCAATTTTGTGGGACTGAGCCCTCAGCCTGTGGGATCCGACACTATCTCGAGGTGGATCGTGTCAGAATGGAATTGAATCGGAGGATGCCCAGCTGGTGTCTGCTGCGGAACTGATTGCTTGTTTGTTGGTGCGGACGCCGCCCCGACATCTGACCACAGATGACACTTCTGTGTTGATTGTTGCGGAATGAGAGCAGAAAACAACACAGTTTGAGTTTTTCCACAGTCAGAAGTGGTTAGGGCTTTGCGTTCTAGGTACACCCAAGAAAAACATGTAGAGATGCTCACAGCCATGGAGGAATGGAGGACTGCCTCTCCTAACCTGCTTCCCATCCGACCTCATTCTTTTCCAGGCCCAGGTGGCAGGCCCAAGTGGTAATTATGAAACAAGGGAACGTGACTTCTTTTTTGAGACAACTGTCTTCTCTTCACAGGGAAGTTCCTCCCCATTACTAGCCTTGGAATATCCGGCTTAATTATTTTTTGTTGTTGTTGGTTTTTGTTTGTTTATTTTTTTGAGACAGGGTCTTGCTCTGTTGCCCAGGCTGGAGTGCCTTGGCTTGATTACAGCCTATTGCAGTCTATACCTCCTGGGCTCAAGTGATCATTTTGCCTCAGCCTCCCAAGTAGCTGAGATCACAGGCACATGCCACCATGCCTGGCTATTTAATTTCTTTTTCTTTTTTTTAGTAGAAATGGGTTCTCAAGGGATCCTCCCACCTCAGCCTAGTAAAGTGCTGGGATTACAGGTGTGAGCCACAGTACCCAGCTATGCTGGCTTAATTATATGAAGGGAGGTGGCAGTTTCTTTAAGGCCCTGACTGATAGGATCTTGACTTCTCCCGACTGCCTACCAGAGGTGCTGCTCAACTGCTCTACTCCCTCCTTTACAGGGAGCCATGTGTGCAGATGTTCATGGAACTGTGGTGTGGGACTTGCAGTGCTAAGTCTTCGTTTGGACTGGTCACTATACTCCTTTAGCATTTGCGGGGCCCTCGAGCCACAGGGCTGGAGTGATTGCCTGCGTTCAGTGTATCCCAGGGCCAGATCTATTCCTCCCCTGTTTTGCCCAACCTGAAACTCACTTCTAAGGAAGGGTATACATGCCAAGTCCTATTAAGGGGCTACCTTAAAGACACAGTGTGTCTCCTCTTTTTTTTTTTTTTTGACATGGAGTTTTGCTTTCATTGCCCAGGTTGGAGTGGAATGGTGCGATCTGGGCTCACCACAACCTCCGCCTCCCGGGTTCAAGTGATTCTCCTGCCTCAGCCTCCTGAGTAGCTGGGATTACAGGCGTGCGCCACCACACCTGACTAATTTTGTATTTTTAATACAAAATTGTCCGTGTTGGTCAGGTTGGTCTCAAACTCCTGACCTGAGGTGATCTGCCTGCCTCGGCCTCCCAAAGTGCTGGGATTATAGGTATGAGCCACTGCGCCTGGCCTCAATGTGTATCCTCTTAAACAAACAATACCTAATTCAATTATGGTACTGGTAACTATGTATTATGTTTTATACCCACAAAATATTCTGAACCAAAAACTCAGTTCTTGTTGTATCTGGGAGACCTCTGAAGTGAACCCTCTTTAAGGAAGAAGGGAAGGGAGGTGGGAAAAGGCTCCCTTCAGCTTTCTTCTGCCCATTCTCCAGGATAGTCAGATTTTAAACCTGTAGACTGCTCTAGGAATTCCAAAGGCTATTCTCTTGTTACATGAAGATCAGTAAAGGAGTCATTTATGGATAAGCTTGATGGCTTAGAAGAAGCATAGCAAGCCTGAAAGTTTGAAGAGGGTTTGCAGTCAGATGCTTCTTCTCCCCAAATCCCAAACAAGCCAGGTGTTCTGGTCAAAGTAACTATAAAACATTGAGTGAAATAAACCATAGGGGTAATAGAACCCCATGATGTGAGTCCATTTCTTTCTATTAATCAGATGATTAGGGCTAAAGAGGCATGCTGGTCTTTTTCAAAGTCATATTTAACTGGAAAGATAAAGCAAAAGAAATGTTTCTTGCTGAACGTTTTCTTCTTGTTTCTTATGTGAATAGCTGATTGGATCTTTTAAAATTTTGTCTGCAATTCATGACCTTTCTATTAGTGGCAATAAAAAAATCCATAGGTTCTTATGGTTGCGTCTACTTTAACTATGGTAATTGACTATGAATAAACACAGTGTGTTCCAGGGACATGATTGCTTGATTTTCAAGTAGGGAAGTCCTGTGACGGCACCCGACGCAACGCATTGAATTTGCTGATGTCTGGAACTGAGACTGAAATGAGAGAATGAGGCACAGAGCTTGGAAGGAGGTGATAGGAGGTAGGTTGATTCTGTTTGGATTTGGAATAAGCTCAGAAGAGTATCTGGGTACATATCTTTGCCCACTTTTTCAGCAGTGGAGGACTAAACTCTGGGCAGGGTGGCAGCTGGTCCTATTGCCTGTTTGTAGAAAAGTGACTGGGACTGATGGCTATCTCAAGAGAAGGAGACAATGGCAGGGAATGAAGAAATGCCTCGGTTGAAAGGTCAGTCTTGCCGCTACCAGAAGATTGATGCTGTCTCAGCATGGACTTCAAGTACACACTGACTGTTCTTTTCGGTCAGCTGGCCTTAATTGTTCTCTAAGGATCAGCTGTAGATACAATGGTTGTTGAATTAAAGGGAGATAAACAGCAGAATCAAGGTGCATTGGTGAGTCAGGATGCCAGGGGAGACAGTGGAGAGTCAGGGTGAAGACGTTAAGGAAGAACATGGTCTTTTGGAGCACATTCGTTCATATTGTCTACAAACTAGCTGTGTGCCTATATAAAGCTACTTAACCTATCTACACTTGTCACATCTGTAAACTGGAGACAGTGCTCTCATTGGATAAGGCCAAGGGCCAGTGGAGGGGTCTCGACCTGGAAACCGTGGCTGGCATAGTCACTGGCACTTGTGAGCAACCTCCATTCCTCCATTAGAGCACGTTACCCTGCTCTGTCAATGGTCACCAGTGCCCTCAGATAATCTTTTTTTTTTTTTTTGCAGTTATCATCCTGTTTGTCTTCCCTGCAGCCTGTGTGCATTTGACCCTTTCCTTCTTACAGCCGTCTGCTCTTTTGGCTTTTCTGATTCGTCCCATACCTCTCTGACCCTTGCTTCCAGTCTCCTTCCTTTAGCTGTTTCCTCTCTCCCAAGGTCTCTCCGCAGTTTGGATGATCTTCCCTATTCATCTCATCCTTTCTCATGCCGCCTTCGGGCTGATGACCTACTGATCAATATTCCTAGTCCAAACCTCCTGTGTGTCCCAATGGCTTATGCGACATGTAAACTGGGATGTCCCCCAAACATTTCAAACTCAACACATCTAGATGAGAGTCATCCTTCCTCTTAAGCATGTTTCTCTCCCTGTGCTTTTATTGGCTATCAGGCACCTAGTCACCCAACTTGGTGCTAGAAACTTGGGGGTCATCCTACCTTGACCTGTTTTCTCCTTTTGGATTGCATCAGCTGCCCACTTCCCTCCTCTCCATGCCCCTGCCAATGCCTCATCACATTTTGCTTTCACACGGCCTCCCAACCTGCTTCTGTCCACGCAGTGTGGCCTCACATCTATCTACCTATTACTGTCAAAGCCAGCTCTCTGGTGAGGAAGTCAGAACGTCACTGCTTCCGCGGTATTGACAATACACAACTTAGGAAGCCCGTTGTGTCCTTTCCTACTCAGCCACTCTTGGAGTGTGGTCCTCTGCCCCAACCCTGCAATTTTCCCTGCAGCTCATCCACCTATTGACTGGCAGCACAATGCCCCTGTGCCTCTCTGTTCTTCCTGCTGCGTGGAAATGAAGGCTAATGGATATTGGCTTCTCCAGTAGCAGGTTACACAGCACGTCCCACGTTGTTTTAAGCCATTTACGTGAGTATTTCCCCCACAAGCCGGAGGTTTCCTCCGACCAAATATCTTGTCTTGTTTATCTTTGGTCCCAGAACCTACTATGGTGAGTGAGACATGGTGGGTGCCCAAGGCACTGAATAAACGATCAGAAATGATTTCTTTATTCAGAGTGGGCTGTCAACCTCAGCCGCTGACTTTTCTAGAGACCGGCTCCCTCAGGGTTTCACGCTCCTTGGCCCTCGCAGCCGCGCAGGTGAAGGGCAGCGGGGGGGGGGGGCTGGCTGCGGAAGGGCTGGGCTGGGTGACTGCCCTCGCGCCTGCGCCCTCGGCTGCTCTTCTCCGGGCGCGTCTCTGTGCGCGTGTGTCTGTTTGGAGCGGAGGAGAGGCTTGGGTGACAGGCGAGGGGTGGGGGGAAGAGTTCAGTCTGAGTCGCAGTCTCATTCACTGATTTCTCTCCAGCTGGACGGAGGCTGCCTCGGCACGCGGCTTCCAACTACTCCCGTAGCTCAGTACCCACTCCAGCCGCTCTACTCAGCCAGGCAGACAGACAGACAGACTCGCTAGTGAGTAGCGGCGACTTGAGCGCCCGGGCAGCGCGGAAGGCTGTCGCTGGCGGTCTGGTCCTCCCACGGTGTGTGTGTGTGTGTGTGTGTGTGTGTGTGTGTGTGTGTGAGATGGGAGCGCAGGGGGTGTCCCTGGGATTCCACGCCTGCTCCAAGAGCTCCCTGCCGGGATCGGCGTGTCCATCCGAGTCTGCGCTGCAGTGAGGGCGCTCGCCCAGGCAGGGGGTTCGGACGCCCCCTGCTCGCGGAGGGAGTTTGCCGGGATTCCCCCGCTCCGCAGGCAGCGGCTGGTGGGGTTCCCCAGGAAGGCGCCTGGGCAAGGCGGCGGCGGGGAAGCCCGGGATTGTGAGTGGCTAGCAGGCCGGGAATCTGGGAGCGGGTTTGGCCCAGCACAGCCGAGGAAGACGCCGGAGCGGCCACCCTTGGCAGCCCAGCCTCTCCGCCGTTCTCCCTGGCTCTTCCTCCTTTCTTTTCTCAGCAGCATCACAAAGGCGCGCCGCAAAATGAAACCCAGTGCAGCGAAGCTCGGCCCTCTCCCACCTGGTGCATATTCCGCCCCCAGTCCCGGCCCTGGGCTGGAGGAGTGGAGTGAGGGTCCCCAAGATTAGGGGCGGGGGCTTACTCCAGGGGCACACCTGTTTTTGATTTTCGCTGAATTCAAGCTGGATGAGGGATCGCGAGAGCGGTTCCAACACTTACACTCCGGTGTGTGTGTGTGTGTGTGTGTGTGTGTGGTTTGTGGCCGCGCACGCGCGCCCACTCCCCAGGCCCACGCTCGCGGGGTGCGCTCAGTCAATAGCACACCTCCCCGCCGGCCCGCGTGCGCCCAGCCGGCTCCGTGGGCTCTTCGCGCGCGCTGTGACAGCGTGCCTGCATCTCTTTGTTTGGTTGTGGCTTCCCTAGCTCTCCGCAAAGCAGGAGGATTTTCGGCTTCGCTTGATACTGCGCGCTGGGACTTAGTGCGGGCCACAGCCTCAAATGCCCCTGGTATTTGTAATTGAAGAGTTCTTTCGGGCAGAGGGTTATTTTTAGTGTTGGAATAAAGAGGCAAGCATGTTGACCTTTTTTGCTGCTGCCTTTGGCTTTGAATGCGTGTCTCTGGTGGAGCAGGCAGATTCGAATCTAGTCGCGCACACGTGCCAGCGCACACCGGTGTGCATACACATTTCTACACAAGTAGTTTACCCCCACCCTCTTCTTTCCTTTTTTAAAAAATTGGGCCAGGGAATACATTGTGTGTCTGTGAAAAAGTTTCCTTTGTTCTTCTGGGCATTTTCTATTTTGAGTAATGGAGTAGGAGTACGAAAAGGTTGCAATTAGTTCACTCGAATAAAAGACATTGCCTCTGAGTCAGAGCTGCCAGGTTGATATTTATTAACATATAAAAGCAAATGCACTGTTTAAGGCAAAAGGGGCGGGGCGAGGGCAGGTCCTCGGCAGACAATGAGGGAGAGTCTCTGCCAACTGCCTCCTGCTTATTGTTCCGGGACTAGAGACTGCAGCCAGTGGCTGCCTGGTCTTCCCGGGCTCAGCTCCTCGTTCGCTTCTCCGTCCCTCTCGGGACCGTTCGGGGTCACCTAACTCTGGCCCCTGGGGCACCGGGACGGCAGCCCCAAGGCGCAGCCGCTCATCGCTGACCGCTCTCTCTCTCTGCCTTGCAGGTTGGCAGCTTCACTCCCGAGGGTGCTGGGAGCCTAGGCGACGAGGACCCGGCACCCCTAGTTCAGGGAGGTGGGATGCGGTGTGGACAGCAGCGCTAAGTACTCCCCACTCCCAGTGCGAGGCGCACTCCCTCCTGGCCTCAGGCCGAGCAGCGGCAGCGGCGGCGGCGGAGGGGATGAGCCCGGGACGCGTGAGGCGCCTGCCTCAAGCTACTGCCCGGAGGGGGACGCTGAGCAAGGCTCATCGCAGGACCCCGCGGACCCCTGTCCCCAGTGGCACACGGCTGCGGAGCCTTGGAGCCGCGTCTGTGGTCAGGATGCACTAGGCACCTCCTTGCTGGTGAGGATGTCCTGCTGCGAGGCCCTGCGACCCCAGCCCCAGTCCCAGTTGGGCAAGACTGAGTGGGCCCGGCTTCGGCCCCTCGTGCCGGTGGATGAAACGTTTCGGAGTGCTTGGGTGCCGTCAGCTATCGAATCTGAATTCTAAGCGCCATGGACGAAGGCACTGGACTGCAGCCCGGGGCGGGAGAGCCGCCGGCCACCGCAGGAGCTGTTCAAGAGAGATGCGAGCCGGAGACCCTCAGGTCTAAGAGTTTACCTGTCCTCAGCAGCGCCTCCTGCCGGCCGAGCCTCAGTCATGCGAGTGTAGACGCCAAGCCGGCCTTCGGCTGTAGGGATTCTTCGGGCCACCAGGAGTTGAAACAAGGCCCGAACCCGTTGGCCCCCAGTCCCTCTGCCCCGTCCACTTCGGCGGGGATGGCGGGGCTCGGGGACTGCGATCACAGGGTGGACGTCAGCAAAACCTTCTCGGTGTCCTCTGCCCTGGCCACGCTCCAGGAGAGAAGGTGCCTCTACGTGGTCCTCACGGATTCCCGTTGCTTCCTGGTGTGCATGTGCTTTCTGACCTTCATCCAGGCGTTAATGGTCTCTGGGTACCTGAGCAGCGTCATCACCACCATTGAAAGGCGCTACAGTCTGAAGAGTTCCGAGTCAGGGCTGCTGGTCAGCTGCTTTGACATCGGGAACCTGGTGGTGGTGGTATTTGTCAGCTACTTTGGTGGCCGGGGTCGGCGGCCCCTGTGGCTGGCCGTGGGTGGACTCCTCATCGCCTTTGGGGCAGCCCTCTTCGCCTTACCTCATTTCATCTCGCCCCCCTACCAGATCCAAGAGTTGAATGCCTCGGCCCCCAACGACGGCCTGTGTCAGGGTAGCAACTCCACCGCCACTTTGGATCCTCCTGCCTGTCCGAAGGACTCGGGAGGAAATAATCACTGGGTCTACGTGGCTTTATTCGTTTGTGCGCAGATTCTCATTGGAATGGGCTCCACACCCATTTATACTCTGGGACCAACCTACTTAGATGACAATGTCAAGAAAGAAAACTCCTCCTTGTACCTAGGTAAGACTTTCCTGTTCTCTCAGATACATTTCACTCAAGCTGAAACTTACTTTCCTTACAAAAATCAAAAGGAAACATTATCTTTCACATTTTCACGTATATTGAACATTCAGATTCACTTTATGCTTTAGCCTTGATGTGGTGTGTTTTCAGTTTGGGAGAGAATCAATTAGTTGAGAGTTCTCAAAACTAATTTTCAGACTCATACTTCATGTTTGTCTTTTCCCAAGTAACATAAACTTTAAACTGTGGGCTGATGCTTCTCTCTGTTGCTACCTACCTTTGGAAAAGCTCCAATTTGTCAAGTTTATATTCTAATACACTTGTTCAGGGAGCAATAGAAGTGCCTTGTGTGTAAAGTTTTGAACGATTTCCTGCTTCTATCTGCTGCTGCTTCTGATTTCTGTCCACAGCATCAGGGATGGTGGCGTGGCCACACTACACGCATCATGCTTTATTGATTTCAGACCTGTATTTCTGTGTGTTTTTTTTTTTTTTTTTAAAGACAGAGTCTCACTCTGTCACCCAGGCTGGAGCCCAATGGCGTGATCTTGGCTCACTGTAACCTCTTCCTCCCAGGTTCAAGCGATTCTCCTGCCTCAGCCTCCTGAGTAGCTGGGATTACAGGCACCTGGCATCATGCCTGGCTAATTTTTGTGGAGATGGGGTTTCACCATCTTGGCCAGCAGGCTGGTGTTGACCTCCTGACCTCAGGTGATCCTCAGTCTCTCAAAGTGTTGGGATTCATGCCTGTATTTCTTATATGTCACCTGCATCACTATCTAAAAACAACAATAAAAATTTGAATGATGTCAAATGAAGAAGCAACGCCACAGGTCATAGGTTTATCCAAAGCTATTTTTTATTGCTGTCGAAGACCCTCAATTATATCAACTTGGGAGAAGAATCCATTTTTATTTCTGAAAAGCTGTGGCTCTGGGCTTTTGGTGTGTTGACTTGCATAAGTCAGCACCAGTGGATGGGGTGCTTAAGTTAAGTACAGGGGGCTCATGTGAGGCTAGGCAGCAGTTGCAGAGGGTAGGAAAATTTATATCCTAGAAATTCCAGGTTGTCAGCACCTCCCTGTAGTAGCTGGTTCTACAAAACTGAACTTCTAAGGGATGTATTTGAATCTATAAGAAGGATCAATGACTGTCATACCAGATGAGATTTTTGTTTTTCTGTTTCTCTACTGGAGTGCACCCTGAGCAAGCTAAAGGATTTTACTTTATTAAAAAAAAAAACAAAAAACACCTGAGACTGGGCGCAGTGGCACAAGCCTGTAATCCCAGCACTTTGCAAGGCAAAGGTGGATGGATCATGAGGTCAAGAGATCAAGACCATTATGGCCAACATAATGTTGATTAGTTCCTCATTTAAAAAATATGAAATTTAATTGGGCATCTCTACTAAAAATACAAAAATTAACTGGGTGTGATGGTGTATACCTATAGTCCCAGCTACTTGGGAGGCTGAGGCAGGAGAATCGCTTGAACCTGGGAAGCGGAGGCTTCAGTGAACTGAGATTGTGCCACTGCACTCCAGCCTGGGTGACAGAGCGAGGCTCCGTCTCAAAACAAACAAACAAACAACAAACCAACCAACCACTGAAATGGGAGCTGGGTGTTGTGGTGCGCACCTGTAGTCCCAGCTACTCAGGAGGCTGAGGCAGAGGATTGCTTGAACCCAGAGGCTTGAGACCAGCCTGGGAAACAGTGAGACCCCATCTAAGAGATGGTAAACTAAAATGGTAAATAAGCAAATATTAGCTATATTCAGCAATTTATTAGCCATGTGCTGATAGAATCCTTGATTTGGGAATAGTAAGATCCTCAAAGGACAGTGAAAATGACATCCAATGTAAGAAGGCTAGGTTTTGTCCTCAGTATAGTTACTGTCCCCAGAAGCTATTATAGAGGGGAGCTTAAGACCTCAGTAATCCTCAGTAACTGTCCCAATTGGTCAGGATGAGAGTTTTATAACTAATTTTCATTACTACATGCAAATATAAAGAAATTTTCTTACTGGGTAGAGAAGAATAGCTTACTTATTACCTTGCCTCCGTGTTTTCTAACATTTATTAAGACAAAATTTTAAACACACAGAAAAGTTGAAACAACAGCATAATAAGCACCAGTATATCCATCACGTAGATGCAATAATTGTTTATTTTGTCATGCTTGCTTTGTCAACCTATGTGTGAGTGTATGAATATATGGAAATATATTTTGGGGGATGAGAGGCTAAGCCTTCTAAAAGTGATTGCAGACACTGCTAGGGACTCTTCTAAAAATGAGGATATTCTTTTATATAGCTGAAGGAACATCAACATCCTAAGAAAGTTCATAATCATTACCTAATATTAAATATTCAGGCCATATTCAGATTTCCTCAATTGTCCTCTGAAAGTCTTTTATATTGATCGATGGATTGATTGAGACAGGGTCTTTCTTTCACTCAGTCTGGAGTGCAGTGGCATAATCTCAGCTCACTGCAACTTCTGCCTCCCAGACTCAAGCAATCCTCTCACCTCAGCCTCTCAAGTAGCTGGGACTATAGACCTGTGCCACCATGCCCAGCTACTTTTTTGTGGAAACAGGGTTTCATAATGTTTCCCAGGCTAATAATAATAATTTTTTAAATGAGGAACTAATCAACATTCATTCATGCAGTGCATTTGGCAGTACCTTGTTCCTCCATTCCCTGTATTTCTTTTATGGTAGAAGATCAGCCTAGAGGCTTGACTAAATTCAGACAAAACGTTTTTGGTCAGACTATATCAGAGGCGATGCTGGGTGTTTTATATTACACGCACCTTGCCGTTAATTAGTGGTATTAAGCATAATCATTTGGCTGAGTGAGTGAGTGGTGGGTCTTTCCATTGTAAAAATACAGTTCTCACTTTGGAAATAATAATCTGTAGAGTGATACATCTGTAGAGTGATACCTGGAATCTGTGTAAATATGCCAGTTGTTTTTCATATTCTTGCTGGTCTTGGTTCTATTTACTTTGAAAACTTGGATCTTCCTTCCATCCCACCCTTGGTAGCATCGATGCAGACATGCTTTGTCAAAATTACAGGCAGAACCCTATTGAAAGGGAGGACATCCACGTACAAGAGCCCTGAGATTGAACTTTTCTGGTAGTGGTTGCCCACCAAGAAGAAAAACAGCAAGTGAATATGAAGTGCATATTCTGTGCTAGGTACTCTGCTAATTTTGGGAAGATGGAAAATGAGACACAGTCCCAGCATTTGAGGTGTTTTTAGTGTTAGGTCAATACTGCCGATTCAAGGCTGGGGAGTAAAATGACGTGAGCAAGGGGAGGAAAGCAATAGAAATGTTATTCACTTTCCTCCATCTTTTCTTTTTTAAAGATGTTGATTAAATTGCTTTTTTCTGGAAAAAAATTTGATGAATGCAATAGGACACATTCTTTTCAAAATTGAGAGAATTCTGCTTCCTATTAAGTGGATCTCAGTAAAAGCTACAGTAGTTTGAGTATCAGAAATCTCACATATATTATTTCACTTAATGTTCTCAATGAACTTACCAGGTGGAGATTTTTTTCCCCTGTGTAACAGATGAGGAAACAGGCTCAAAGAGTTTAAGTAACTTACTTAAGGGCCTCAACCCCATGCCTTTCTGACCCCGGGGCCCTTGAGCTTCCTTCTACAGTGCATGACTCCTTGGCAAGAAGCCCTGAGAGCCAATGGAAACCGAAGGATGTGCCAGGTTCAGTAGAGTTTTCCAACAGCACAGAAGAATGCAGAATGCAGAATTGCGTTGAAGTTGTCAAAACATGATCAAAATAAGATTATTCTCTAAACCCTTTAAAGTAGGTTTGATAGACCTACCTCTGTACAAATTAGAATCAGAGACTATTATACCCTTAGAACATGAGCAGTATTGACCAATTATGATGTGAGACCTTTCCCAATACATAACAGGTTAAAATACCTTTCTTATTTTTCACAAAGCTATTCTGTATTATATTTTTCACCACCCATCCCTTTCTTAACCTTCCTGTTCATCTTTCTAATTTCTCATTATAACCTCAGAGGAAAGAAAAAAGATCAGGTAGTAGGTTAGTAATTATCGGCAGGAACAAATATCTGTAGTAACATAAAAATCATTGAAATGGAATGTAAGTATATATCTTTTTTTTTTTTAATTTTTTATTGGATTTTAGGTTTTGGGGTACATGAGCAGAGCATGCAAGACAGTTGCGTAGGAACACACATGGCAGTGTGCTTTTCTTTCCTTCTCCCCTTCATCCACATTTGGCATTTCTCCCCAGGCTATCCCTCCCCACCTCCCCCTCCCACTGGCCCTCCCCTTTTCCCCCCAATAGATCCCAGTGTTTAGTACTCCCCTTTCTGTGTCCATGTGTTCTCATTTTTCATCACCCGCCTATGAGTGAGAATATGCGGTGTTTCATTTTCTGTTCTTGTGTCAGTTTGCTAAGGATGACGTTCTCCAGATTCATCCATGTCCCTACAAACGACACAAACTCATCATTTCTGATTGCTGCATAATATTCCATGGTGTATATGTGCCACATTAAGTATATATCTTAATCTTTTGAAACTTCCATGTTAACATTCTGCAGCCTTAAGTGTAGAAGAGTTGTGGTCATAGATGAGATACAGAAGCATTTATAGCAACTAAATGCCTTAACCTCTGCAAGGAGAGAGGCTTAGGGTTGTTGAGGAGCATATAGAAAGCTTTGGAGGTATTAATGAGAAGGAAGGTTAGAACTAGACCATAATTTGTAATTATATCTTACATATAAAGGGAGAGAGAAAAAGCAATCCTTTGGGGGCAAGAAATTCATGATTCAACAGGGAAAAGAGTAAGAATGGCAAACTAGGTGGGAAAAGGAGGAAAAGGACGTATTTCTAGAATATGAAGCATCAACTCTGATTTGCTGAAATTCAGTATCATCAATGGTTGGCATGGGTCACCCATCAATTAAGTGGAGTGGGTGCCGGCTCTTC